GTTTGCTGCAGCACAGATGCACATTATGGGACTTGTGGGATTTACAATGACAGCTACTGTGTCACTGTGATGATGCAATCTGCTGATTTTTGTTTGCCAGTGACTCAAGGAACTAAAATATCTGCCTCAGCTTCGTGCAGCAATCTGACACTGCTACTGGACTGGGCAGCTCTCTCTCTCTCTCTCTTACTGGACACCTTAGGGAGGAGCACAGTTTCCAGGATCAAACAGCCACATAACTAAAACTTAACAGACCCATCTGACTTTTCACATTAATATTAATCTTGTCTGTCAATGCTTAAGATAAACAGATAGCTGAGTATCAAAAGAAAATGTCCAAAGTCAGCATAGCCACTGTAGTTGGGTGAATCTTTTGCTCAGCCTCATTCGGTTGCTACGGAGACCATCTCTAGGGGCAGCAGTGGGAGGAGGCTGGGCAGTGACATCACGCCTACAGCATCTCTGATGCCACTGGGATATTTCAGGTAAAGTTACAGCACGATGACAAAGCACTTTTCATTTTCCTGCAGTCAGCTGCATTGCTTAAAGATGAATTTGTGATAAGAGAAAGTGTAAAATATAGAAAATTGTTATTATTTTCCTTGTTTTACAGTTTCACACCTGGGACATGTTGTCTAGCATAAGGTACAGCTGTCTCTTTGTAACTGGTTTCACTGTTAGCTTTACTAAATCTTCTCTCTGGGAGGGGGGTATGCTTTCTCTGACATGCTTTCCGGGCTTTCCTTTATTTCACTCAAAGCTCTGAACACAGAGTCTTGATGCAGAAGAGTGAACTTTATGAATAGCCCCCAGAGTGCCATTACATGTTCTCCAAAGAGCAGATGGATGAATGGCACCCTGAGAAATAATGGCAATATGTCTCATGGCTTCTATTTTTGGCTGTTACAGTTTTAGGGCAAATACTGTACCACATTAAAATATCATCAGAGCAGGAAAGAAAAATGTGCAGTGCTGTGAATAATCGCACTGGATGCAGCCACTGCCTTCCCTCTTCCCTTCACCGATGTGAACGTTTTCAGCTTTGGTAAAGTTCAAGAATGACAAGCGGCACCTCTCCTGGCAGACACCGCCCATGTTGGCGTGCTGGGTATCATTAGGTAGCGCTCTGCTGCGAGGCATCACTCCTCTCATGGGGTGAATGTTGGCATGAGGAGGACAGCGAGGAGACGAGAGGGGAGGAGTAGCCTGGGGTCCCCTCTACCCCCCACCTCGATTGAGCATGATCCTGGTCTCGCATCCTTATGTCTGCCTGGAGCGGCGGTGTCAGAGGACCAGCTCTGGAGATGACTGCGGTGTTCTGCGTCTGTGTGTGGATTTCTGTATCACGCATGCAAGCTCATATATGTGTGTATTCACTTTGACTCTGTGCTTGAGTGTGTGCGCATTCTCTCAGTACTGTTTTTCTAATGACCAGGATCCCACAATGGAGCGCATTCAGGCGGACCAGCTGTGAACATTTTACAGATGTGCAGCTCTCAAGCATGCTCATGCATACGCACACTCAAGACATTCACACAGGAACAGCGAGACAATTAGACAGGTCGATACATTTTAAGACTAGCAGACACGCATTAAAGTCAGTGTGCATCCTGCTTTAAATCTTAATGCTGATTTCTGCATGTTTTTTTTTACATCTATAGTGAGTGAGATGCAAGTTTTATGTTATTACATAACTAGGGATGGGTGACAGTTTTAATCTTTCAATGCTTGTGTGAATACAATACCCTAATAAAGAAGTTGAATCAATACTTTCTTATTTCTTATACTCTTATTTTACACAGGTATCTGTACTTCTACTTGAGTAAAGAATGTGTGTACTGTTGTACTCTGCTACCTGCTTCACCTGGGAACTAGATTAATGAGACCAGGCTGGGCCAGAAAACCAAACCAATTAGCTGAAAGATGTAAATACAGTTTGAGGGAGCTGAGGGATTCACATTACACATAATCATTTGACCCATTGTTAATACAATAACAGAAATACTGAGCTTTAATGTCTAATTTTGGTACTTTGTTCCTGCAGCTTGATACTCCCTGTATGGAACAAAGGGACAATCCAATAAGATAATATGGATTTGTGTGGGTAATTAATCTTATGTAACACTGACACGATGAGTAAACACAGAAATGACTGATATTATCTTCTGTTAATTTAAATAACATTGATCTCCTTATGAGGCCTCAATATCTCAGCCTATTCTTACCTCTCCACAAACCCAAACAACACAAGCTGAACTGCAGGTGTCTCTTGCCAGCACTGCCGTCGAGCTCTGCAGGAGATGATTAACGGCGCTGGGTGACTTGCAGACACGTTTTCGTTTCCCTTGGTTAAAAATACATTGAAGAAGGATTTAAATTCCAGTAGGGGAGACAGAGAGAACAAAACCACTCAGCAGTTCTGAGGCAGAGCACCTGGAGCTGCATGCATGGTATCTGGCCTGTAGGACTGAGGTGGCTGTAATTGAACATTCAGAAAAGATGGGTCTCCACAGTGGACAAAGGGTTAAAACCAGTGCTTCGCTTTCAAATTATGTGTGGACGGTCACATTGTATGTTTAAGTCATCTCTATCAATTTCACTGGATAAGTATTTGAATGTTTGCTTGGGGAGAGTACAAGGCTGTTATTAAGTTTCTTCTCTTACTCTGGACTAAATAAATTAATGTCTTTTGTTTAAATGTTCCCTTATAGAAGAGGCTATGTGAGCTTTCATGTGATCCTTCAAAAGTGGATTTTGCTCAGCCCAGCACACTGCAAAGTGAATTTCAAGTAACCTTCAGTCATTTCTGTGCTTCTTCAAAGTCATGCAAATTGTAAGTAAGATGTTGTTTTTTTTTAGCACTCTGCCTCACAAACTGTAATTCCTTTGGTCTCCTGTGAAACATAACAATTATGGGTCAGACTAAAAGCCTCTAGGTGGAATTTTAAGGTAGTTTCCTGACCTGCATGACAAATCCCAGACAGTAGCATGGCCAATTCTAGGACAAAACGCTGTTTAAAAATAGTAGAAATAAAAAAAAAAAATATTTTTCCTTTTTTTCTGTTATGTACTGAAGTGGGATTCCTTCCTAATGCCACATTTGATGAAAATGATTGCATATGAATATAATCGTAAGGCACTGTTTTATATGTTATATGGGCTATGTATATATATCATGTACAGTATGTTATCCAGTAACATTACTATGTTGGATAGCATATACCAGAGAAGTCTTATACACATATAACACATTCCTATTAGAGAAATCCAAATAGACTGATTTGGGACTTGGGAGTTGTAGCTCTGCTTCAATGGTACTGTGAACATCAATCATAGATATACAGCATAATATCCACCGTATATGATCCACATATTTTACTGCTGGCCTCTGTGAGACTTAAAACAGAAGTAATGCACCATTTTCTGTGGCAGACTTCAGTTCAAAATCATGTTCATAAGAAGGACCCAGAGAGTGAATTTTATAAGAGTGGAAAGTATAAAAGGTTTCCTAATAAAATGATTATAAAGACACAATAATATCCAGTGTTCAAGACTTCTAAGTCTAATGAGAAGGAGCTAAATACAATCAGTACAAGCTCAATATCAAATTCCTTCCCAACAGTAACAGCTCAGTTTATCCACTTGAGGGCAGTACTGAGCTATCTTCAGATTGATGAAGTCTGTGTTGATTCAAAAACAACATGACTGAACTGACAGCTCAACAGCAACACAACAACTTAACTAAAAGTTGTTAATAAAAGGTGTGCTGTCTATCTCCTCATATTGATCATATAAATGACCATCTAATCTCCTAATCACTTAATAAAAAATAAATATTAGAGCTTATATCAATATTTGTGTTAATGGAATTATCAACTGGCAACGGATTAATTTGCAACAATTGCAAGAGTTGTTTTTGAGAAAAAGTGCAAAAAAAGGTGTCAGTTTCTCTAATGTTTGTTGCTTTTCTTTGTTTTATATCGTTGTAAAGTGAATATCTTTTGCACTGTTAGTTCAGTTTAGACATTTGAAACGTCTCATTTAAAACAGGCACTTTTTTGTTATATATTATGTTATAAATTAAATGATTACTTAATTGACAGTGAAAATAATTAACATTAATTTCTACTGAAAATAATCATTGGAATTATAAAAGTATCTGTAATCCTGAAAACCCCTCATACACATTTCAAACCAACATGATGCATGAAAAGGAAACACAGCCCTGTAATTCATTTTCTGTGGACTCCTTTGAGTGTCGCTGTTCATTTGTTTGTTTGTTTGTTTGTTTGTGTCACTTGAAAAGCGCACGTGCGAGTGTCTGCTGTAGGGGATGAAAGGTGGCTGACGTCAGACCTAGTTGGCATGCCAACTCAGAGAATGGATCTGAGAAACAGAGCCGCTCAGACGGTTTGACACAAAAAGGAAGCTGCACTGTTACAACAGCTTTTCATGACTTTTGCTATATTTCTACATGTCTGCCAACCCATTACCTGAAGCTTCAGGCTACTAACTTCACCTTAAAGGCTAACAGTGCTGACTGATATTAATTTAAGCACTTTTATTAACCTTAGATTCACAATAAATTATAAAAAAAAATATATATATATAATACAGCAGTTTCTTTCCCTCTCCAAGGACACAAAGGTGAACCACAGTCGGAAAGACTTTGTGAAAATGCAACACAATGCCATGGTAACATTAGAGGGGGGTTACCCAGGAAACCACCGTTGTTATGGAGACTGCATCACAAGGCGGGTTCAGCGAGAGGGAGGGCGGAACGTTTCTGCGCGTTCTCCCTCCTCTCATTCACGCTGCTTTCATCCTGTCGTCACATGACCTCAAACACACATTAATTCACACTTTACATATTTCATACCCCAAACAATCCTGCTCGCTTTGGACGGAATTTGCAATGGTATTAGATATTTAGCCAAAGGTTTGTAATGACTTTTTTGAGTCGGGATCGTTTAATATCCGTTTTTATTTAATATAGGCTATATAGGCAGTTCTGAATAAAAATACAATTTTACGAAAAGCTCGACTTATAATTTATGATAAGCGTTTCCATCGACACCACTGCGTGTTATTACCTGAATAATAATCTGAACAAAACTCAGAGTCTAACATCTTCGACAGGTTATGATATTAAATATAACCTAAACAGGCATTTGGCTATATAAATTACCATAGTCTATTCATTACATTACTGGACGATTAAACTTCTTTCCACGAAGCACAAGTTTTCTTTTTCTTTTTTTTTTTGACTGGTGGGTAGATGCAATATAGTAGACTATGCTACACGTGTATCCCAATCATCAACACCAACAACTTTCGCATAAACATCAAGATATGTAGGCATCGTGTGGCACTATACACCAAAAAAATATCTGTTTTAACAAGCCACTAACTTGTTCAATTAATGTATTTTTATATGACAACAGCTTGTGCCGAAATGAATACTTTTCCAGTATAAATGTGTTGATCTCTGTGAAATACTCAAATGTGAATCTACAATAGAAACAAGTAGACTCGTGATTTCTCATAAGCTTAAATCAAAATTTAAAAAAAGGATAAATGACTTGTTAAAACTGACAATTACGCAGCGTTCATCCACAGATATGGACTGGCACATTACGATTGGCTATATATAAAAATATTATTATAGCTACTATATCTCCATGCTCCATAAACGATCCACGTCTGGTGTTTCATTTACACGTCCGTGAAGATCTTTTTGATGTTCACGCAGTTCTGGTTGTTTTCGGTGGTGAAGTTGGGCTGTTTGAACGCACTGTTGATGCCCTCCTCTATCACCATGTACTCTGACTTGCTGAGAGATGAGGAGCTGCACGACCTCCTCAGCTCCTCCGAGGGGAGGTGCTCACAGCTGCTCGTGTGCACGTACTGTGGGTGCTCCTCTCCGTCAGTCTCCCTGTGGTAAAAGTAGTTGAAATTAGACACAATCACTGGCACGGGTAAGGCAATGGTCAGCACGCCTGCTATTGCGCACAGCGACCCCACTATTTTCCCACCAATGGTCACTGGATGCATGTCTCCATATCCGACCGTGGTCATGGTCACCACTGCCCACCAAAACGCATCTGGGATGCTGGTGAAACTGGACGAGGGGTCGTCTGCTTCGGCGAAGTAAACCGCGCTGGAGAAGAGAATAACTCCGATGAAAAGAAAAAATATGAGCAATCCGAGCTCCCTCATGCTGGCCTTGAGGGTTTGTCCCAAAATCTGAAGTCCCTTCGAGTGTCGAGACAACTTAAAAATGCGAAAGACCCTCACCAGTCTGATCACCCTCAGGATGGCGAGGGACATCGCCTGTTGGCCGCTGTTGGTCTCCTTCTCGGCCAGCTCAGTCCCCAGAGTGATAAAGTAGGGGATTATGGCGACGATGTCAATGATATTCATGATGTTTTTGGAGAAGGTGGTTTTACTGGGACAGGCAAAAAACCTGACCAGCAACTCGAAAGAGAACCATATGATGCACAGAGTCTCTATCACAAAGAAGGGGTCTGTGAACGGGCTTTGCACGTGGGGAGCAGTGCCATTGACCGTGGGTGCCACTGTGGCTTGGTCTCTCTCGTCCCGAAATTCCGGCAGAGTCTCCATGCAGAAAATAACAATTGAAATGAGAATAACAAGCACGGAGACGATGGCTATTCCTCTTGCTGGCCCGGAGCTTTCTGGATACTCAAACAAAAGCCAAACCTGCTTTTGGAAATCATGTTTGGGCAGTATGCGCTCCTCTTCTTTTATAAACCCTTCATCATCGCGGAATTTCTCCATGGCCTCCTCTCCGAGTTGATAAAACCTGATCTCCTCGGAGAAAATATCAATGGGGACGTTAACAGGTCTCCGTATGCGCCCCCCTGACTGGTAGTAGTACAGGATGGCATCAAAGCTCGGTCTGTTCCTGTCAAAGAAGTACTCGTTCCTCAGCGGGTCAAAGTAGCGCATCCTTTTCCTGGGGTCCCCCAGCAGCGTGTCTGGGAACTGGTTGAAAGTTTTGAGTTGCGTCTCGAAGCGTAAACCCGAAATGTTGATCACCACCCTCTCACAGCATCCCTGGCGGCCGCGCTCATATCGATCCACCGACAGGTGGGGCGCCGAGAGCACGGCGGACTCCTCCAGCATGTTTTCCACCGTCATGACTCCCTTCTTCACCTCGGCATAACCCCGACTGTCAGCCGCGTTCTTGCCCCTGTTCCTGGCGGACGAGGGCGACTGGTTCACACTGTAGGTCTGGTCATCCATACAGGTGGTTTTCGGTCTGGAGGGGCACAGTGCGCGCCACGCCTCTCCCAGCCAAAGCCTACAGCTTTGGAGAGCTGAGGCCGACGCCACTTACATCTCTTCTAACCATCACCACTCTGCGCGTATCCACGCTGAAGCGCTGCACTCCCCTCTGCCTTTCTTTTTTTATTTATTTTTTTACAAACACGTCGACACCCGCCCACGGCGCGCATATGTCTGACATACGTCCACAACCAGCCCCGTCGGAAATTAACTTGACACTTCATATCGAGCACACACTTTCATTCAAGTGCGATGGAAGAAATACACTTGATGAAATCACATCCACACCTGTTTGATCCAAGTTCGGTTATTTCTCTGTGAGCTCATACAGATCTATTATCACATGTTATAAACACAGAACTGAAGCCGGATCAGCGCTGCTGTCTGAAAACATAGCCCGGCACGGTGTGTCTGCAACAAAAGTCTGGCACTGTCTCACACCTTTGTCACAGACCCAATAATGCAGTCATCATTGCTTCACTTGACTGAGCGTATGTAATTTTTTTTCGAGGAACAACAAAGGGTGAATATGAAACAATTCACTGTCCAAACACGATGAATAAAAACAGAATATCTTTATGTCTCATTCTTTGTTGTTGAGGTGGGGTTGTTGCTCTCCATGGTGCTGAAAACAATCGTTCACCAGCTTGTAAATCAGCGCCGTCCTCATCAGCGTTCAAGTTTGTTGTTGTTGTTTTTTTTCTGTGCATGTGTGTGTGTGTGTGTGTGTATTCGTCTAAAGATGCTTCCCCCTCATTCATTGTTCACATGACACAGCAGCCTCAGGATCAGTCACCTCATTTCCACTCGAAAAAAGCAGCCACGTGGTGACAGAACCGCCTCACAGAAGCGTCTCAAGTGTCGGCCTTTGTTACAGCTGTGATTAATGACGAAAATGCTAAATCAGTGTTGTTTGTAATTCGTACTGACAGGCTTCATCAAAGGCGTCCCTCACTGTCACAGGGTTAATGTGTTCAAATAGGATTCAAACTCTAATGCAACAAATCTGCTCTTTCTTTTTTATATTATATCTTTAATATGCCAGTCTGGGTTTTAATTTTAACCTGGCAAACCCGAAGGAAGAGCTGAGCCTCTCTTCTATCCAAATATGGCAACATCTAGTGCTCCTCCATGAACATACTGAGAAAATCCTCTTAAAGCGGATGACACTGATCTAAAAAACCTATTGACCCTCTTTTGCTGCCTGAAAAAAAAATAGTTCTAGGGCATGGGAAAAACTCTCACTATCAGGGAAGCTGTACACACAAAAAAGCAGACTTTAGCAGAAGGCCTGTAGTAAAAGGGAGGTAATAAATTAGAAGACTCTCAAAGACACTGTCCCGCAGCAAAAACAGACAAATTTAATCAGTTGTTTTAACACAATTTTTGTATTCTTTTATTGTGATGTTAACTCCTTCTCGGCTAGTGTCAGTCCCCCAAATTCCCAATCACAATACAGAGGACATGATTTCAGAGCCATCAGCTGTTTCTATGGCCATGATTCTGATGTGAAAATATAGGTATGGAATAACTGAATGTTAGAAATACCACAAACAACCAGATCAGGGAAGTAGGAAGTGAAAACATACACACACACACACACACACACACACACAGATGTGCTAAAACAAAATCTAACCTAAGACGTGATGAATGGCGTTATCACCACTGTGTTGACTGCAGTGTTTTCAAAATTCCACATTTTGCTTTCATTATTTAAAGCACATTGTGATAAAAAAAAAGTTAACTTCGACTAAATTTCAGTGTAACAGGGTTTAGCACTTATCACCACTAGGTTAAAATACTGGTGTATGAGAGCTTACAGGTGACAAAGAGCACCATTATTTCTCCAAATGTTTATTTCAGAACTTCCTCTTCTGTCATTTGCTTCTGTGTGATAACTTGTTGCTCATTTTCGCTCCATTTTTGTTTCAGTCTAGGGCTGCACAATTAATCAGAATATTATCGAAATCTGGCCAAGTGCAATATGCTAAAAGCTGCAAGGTTTTGACAAAGGTAAAATGGGTGACAAAACAGCATTATTATTAAGTACTGTAGTGCTGTAGAGGTGCCCTGGTCTACAAATCTCCAAAAAATTCAATTTTTATGTAAAAATGATCATCCCCACATAATTGTGAATCACAAGATCTGTTACATTTAGTAAAAATGGGGATTATTTAGTAGTGATAGACAGATTATTTGGCATTCTGAGATAATTGGCATTGGCCGATGTCTGTGCTCACAGAGCCGATACATAAAAAAAGTCTTCAGACACATTTGCAGGCAGCCTCGTCAGTGTGGCTGCTGTGGAACGATGTTAGTGCTATTGTGTAGAGAAAAGTTAGTTTTGGAAAAGTTATTTTCGAGCCCTGTTCTATAACTTTCATGCATCCTACTGTAAACATATGCCTAAATTTCCCTTAGAATATAATAAAACAATAGTACATTGCCTCTCTTGGTTTTGATATCGGCATTACATATATATGTTATAAAAAAAATAAAAAATAATCTTCTTTCTTGACACGTTGTGTAGAAACTACCCACTACTTATGAACCATATAAACTTGTGTATTTTTAGATTTGAAAGCAGGATAAACACCTTAAAATTGTTGCAGTACTTTAACCTTAATGCATGACAGTACATTTTTTGGGGTTACAGACAATTTCAAACAACTGTGTTAAAATGGACACGTATAGATTTATGTTTCTTAACTAATTCACTCGTCTGGTCATTTTTAGGTGATGACAGTTTAATTCAGTTTAAGTTTTAACAACACAGCCACACCTGCTCGTCCAATCCCTGCACACAAAACTGATAAACATTAAAAATTAACCCTGTGCAGTGAGAAAATCATGCTGCTATCAACAACCTCCCAGTAGTTGCATCTCAGTAAGCATGGGAAGTTTTGTCTGTGTCTTCGTCTCCATGGCAACAAAACATTAAGTGTTTTGTAAAGAGAAAAGGAGATAAGTTTAAGAAGTTACATAATTTCCAGTCCAACTCATGCAGGAGAAAGTAGACAAGAGACTATTTCTCACATTCCCACTGAGGGACGAACATGTTACATATCAGGAAGAAAAGGAAGCTGGATGGGTTTTGGTTATGCGTGTCGACTGCAAGGCCACTTATCAAACACAGAAGAATCAGCTCAACAAAGAAAGGGACGGATATAAAGCTTAGACCCTGGGCAGGAAACACACTTCTATTTCATAAGAACACTCATTATCAAACAGCCTTTGGCCACAACGCCCCCAGTTCCCTCTTTGTTTCTTTGATCCAATTCATTCTCCAGTTAAACATAATGGCTGAAAATAAATTAAAGTTTAATTTGCCTGGGCGATACGCAGTGCTTATGCTCGTAAACACAGACTGATTGAGTGCATCAGCTCAAGGTTCCTGATTCAGAGAAAACTCTGTTTTGATTTGCTCTGTAGTGTAGATAATATGAGGGTCAGGGATGATAATAATTGATGACTGGAGCAGCAGACAGTCTTCAACATTCAGTGAAAGTGCTTTCCTGATTATGCTGATTACACACAGAGAGAAAAATCCCAACAACACCCCTATCATAATGCAATTCCCATGAAGATACCATCAATGTAAGAGACAAGGTGTCAGACTTAATATCAACACTCATTATTGAACTACACTACAGGTGATGCAGTCTTTGTAAACACAAACCAAAGATTCTCCCTAGATACTGACCTCGTTGTACATATGCCTATATATCAAATCTCACATTAGAGTTTCTACTCCACAAGGTCATTTGGTCCATTTTCTCCATCATTTTCTAGCCAATTCTGTTGGCTGCCTGCTGAGGATAAAACAGGCCTATTATGTATCCAAACCTCTGGAGCTGGAAGGAAGCTAAAGATAGAATTTTTATCAGTCTGGGAAGTTAAAAAATGACTTATTAACTCTGGCAGAAGCTTTAATTTTAAGTGACGTTACAAATTACATTGTGCATCTGGTCTGGAGGGAGACGAGGGCATTTGATATAATAATCCCTTCCAAAAGATCTTAACGGCATTTTTCATTCTTCAGCATTGTGTCAGGGAAAAGAGGGCTGGTTTCCATCAAAAGTGACAATGCTTGGACTGCTCTTTGAGTAATGAGGAGCAAGGCTTTCCCCCCACCCCCACGTCTGTTCAGTCTGGCTCACAGGCGCACGCACTGACTGATCAATACAGGCAGAGAGAGAGAGAGAGACCAGCGTCTATTGATCTGTCATCCATTGGCTGTGATCCCTGCCAGTGCAGAATCATTACACGTTCACACTGTCCACTGCCACAGCTATCATGAGTCAAGGTGAAGGCCAAGGTCATAAATAATGCAACAACACTTTCCTTACCAGGATTTGTAGCGGCCAGGCGAGGGGTTAAATGAGCAGTGTAACTGTTAATTTCTCTTTCAGTCAATATCTCGTAAACTATCCAATCCAATCAACTGAAGGTGATTAATGACTGTCCTTAATCAATCTATTGGATAAAGGCAATCCCGTCTCTTAAATTACATTCATAGACAAATTTATTTTAACAAATTGTGTATGTATTATATGTATGCACTGTGCATGTTATTTTTTGGACCTTTTTGTACTGAACACAAGTCATAGGGAGGTGGTTGGTGGATGGTGAGTGTATAAATGTATGTAGGAGTGTATAAATTGCAGGACTTTTGTATCCAAAACAGTTTTTTGTCCTGTGTGGTTAGCACTTTGGTTAACAGGAAGAGATTTAGATTTCAGTTAAACGTTAAAACAGTAAATGCATCCAGTGTTGAGTTTCAAGTTAGTGTTGACTTTCTTGACATGTAACCATGACCATGATCTTTCGCCAACCTAAACCAAGTGCTTTGAGAGCCTAAACAAGTCTAAAGTCTAAAGCCATGCTGAGCATATCTGTCCATAGGCACAGCAAATCTATGGGCTAAATGTTAACATGATAGCATGCTGACAGTGGCAATATATATTAATAATATTTACCAGGTTCAACATCTTACTTGGGCTAAACACTGCCAAATTGTATAAAACACACAATAGAAGGGAA